CTTTCTTATCAATATGATGAATCAATTCTTGGGCAATTAAAACTTGGTCTGCTATATCTCTGTTGGCCATAAATCCTGCTTGCTCTGGGGAGATTATTTTGGGAAGGATATCTTTAAGTCTAGTTGCCAAAATTTTTGTAAAGACCTTACTAATGAAATTAGATAGACAGATTGGTCTAAAATCACCAAAACTAGAAGCTCTATCAGACTTGGGAATTAGGACAATCAAAGAACAGGCAATAGCTTTAGGAATAGGAAGACCTAAAAAGAATTCTTGGACTCCTCTAATGACATCATCACCAATAATTGACCAACACTTCTTGTAGAATTTACCATGAAAACCATCAGGGCCTGGAGCACTGTTCTGACCAAGGTCCCAGACTGCCTGCTTAATTTCCTCAGCATTAGGTAGCTTAGTTAAAAAGTCATTATCATCATTATTCAACAACTGAGGAATATGAGACAAAATATCTTGATCATTTCCTGTTTGATTTGCAGAATACAACTCAGAAAAGAATTGAGCAGCTGCCTCCCCAATTGAAGGAGTGGAAGAAAGTTCCTGACCAGTTTGATCCTTTATAGAGGTGATGTATTGCTTCCTCCTTCTAATCTTCACAAAAGAGTGAAAAAAGTGTGTATTACGGTCACCATCAGAAATCCAGTGTAGATGAGCTCTTTGTTTCCAGTATTTTTTCTCCATCTTGTATTTTTGTGTTAAGAGAGCTCTCTTAAAGAACCAATTTTCTCTATTATGATGAGTAGGGAAATCTTCATAAGACTGTTCAGCCAAAAGAACTTCTTGCTCACATTTTTTGATGTCATCAAAGAGGTTGCCAAAAACCTCCTTGTTCCAAAATTTCAACTCCTTTTTAATGTGTTGCAGTTTTATAACAAGACCTCTCATACCACCCCCTGTTTTAACTCATTCCACTTTTCTTTCATAACCCCCATAAAAGAGATGTGATTAAACCAAATGTTTTGAAATCTAAAAGATTTAGGCCCAGAAAAGCTAAGATTTGAGCATTGAACCAGAATAGGTGCATGGTCAGAAGGTGTCTTGTTAAGAATATTATTCTGAACCTTGTCAAATTTATCCAAGAACAATTGATTAACAAGAACCCTGTCAAGTCTTCTCCACACTCTACCATTAGATCTATTTCTAGTCCAGGTGAATTTGGATCCTTCAAAGGGTAAATCAATCATGTTACAGGCTGCAATACAGTCAGAGAAGTCATTTATACCTCTCAAAGAAGGTAATGAGCTACCCAAGTGTTCACTATGTTTAACAATAACATTGAAACCCCCTCCCATGATCCAAGGCTCCTTAATAGATAGAGATAATTGAGCTAAAGAGTCCCATAAATCTTTCCTAACTGCAGGACTATGTCTTCCATAAATGCCAGTAGCCCATCCTGAAAATATAGATCCTTGAATTTTGCAGTGAACATACTGTGGGTGCCAAGAAAAGTCTGAAAGCGTCAAAGTTGATGGATCCCAAAAGATCCATATTTTATTCATATCTGAAGAGGTAACTGCATTCAATCCAAACTCTTTTTTGTATTTATCAACTTTATTCTCATTAACCATGAGTTCAATAATGAATAAAATATGAAGCCTCCATTGTCTAACTAGGGAACCAAGCCTGGAACTGGAGGATTCCAGGCCCCTAGCATTCCAGAATAGGCAATTCATTAGACAAGGGTATGTTGGGACTGCCCTTTAGCCACACTTCTAGTATTTCTCTTGGACTGATTTTCTTCTTGCAATTTCTTTTTAGAAACCCTTCTGGCTACCTTAGTGAATCCCTCATCATTCATATCATTTTCCTTTTGCTGTATACATTGATCTTCTAATAACCCAGTCTGATCTTTGCCCAGGTTACTTAGTTTCTCCTCCTTGTTCTCAATGGATTGCAGGTGAAGATCCTGCATTTTCTCATGATCAGAAGACACACCAATATTATCATTCCCTGCCAATTCAGAAGTCTTTTGGGTCTGTTTCTTCTCCACTATATCATCAATTCTCCCACAAATATCAGGCCAAGAATCCAAGAACAATTCTGGATGAACTGCAATGTTATGCTCCCCATCAGATAAGTATCCCTTGTCGATTGCAATGGCTTCACCCTCAAGCCTCATTCCCCAGTCATTGATGAAATTATCATCCTTCATTTCTTTTATATCAGTTGACTTTAAAGAGAGAACCCCCGGAACTTCAGAGTGAAGCAACTCTTTAATCTGGTTTTTAATCATGGCTGGCTGCTCCAAAGGATCATGAAATACCTCATCCTCCTCATCGGATAGAATCTCTTCAAGAATCACCTTAGAAGTAGATTGTTTGTTTAAATCAATATGATCTGTAATTTTATTCTTGGCTTTTTCCTCCCTTGTAAATTTAGTAATATGCTGCTTAGGAGCCCAAATCTCCTTGATTATGCCTTGACTTCCTACGTGACGTTTAGGGCATTTGAGATTCGAATGGCCTCAATGCATACATTCAGCGCAATACTCCGGTCTATTTTCATAGACAATAGATTGAGAAAAACCAGACTTACCACAGCCTATCCAAATTTTGTTTGGCATATCTTTCAATAGATCCAACTCCACACAAATTCGGGCTACTGCTGGCCTTGAAAGGGTAGCTGTAGCTGAATCAATTTTCAATGGTTTACCTACCAGGCTTGCAATATGAAATAAGGCTTGTTTATCCTGCAAATGAATGGGAAGGCCTTCAAAAGAAAGCCAAATCGGAACAATAGAAGACTCCATATTAGGTCTAAAATCTGGAGTCCACCTGGTGACTCGCATAATATGACCCTTAATAGATCAAGACTGTCTATTCCAGCAACGGATAAAGTCCTCCTCTAGATCAAATCTGATTAAAACATGCTTTGGATCAAGAACACCCAAATGAAAGCCTCCTTTAAAGCCAATAATTTCAAATGATTTTCGCATAACCGAAAGGTTAGGCTTGCCCTTGAAGAAATAACCAATCAACGCTCTCTTATGTTTATCCGCCAACAACCGAACACTATCATCCGAAAATTGGATAGAAGGTAAACCTTTTAATTTAGCCCGGATAGGTTCAGTCAAGGATTGAGTCTTCTCGCGATTTTCCACAACATCGGCAAATGATTTCCCCACCCAAGCATTGCCACCTCCCGGCGGCTGCGCCGCCTCTGATAAATCCACCGTCATATGTCGCCAGAGCCTTTAGAGAGAGAAAACCCGCTCTCTCTAATGAGTTATTTCACTGGTAACGTACCAAATTATGACATACACTAACATATTATTATATATTTACTATTGAATCCTTAAGCCATCTTCTTCTTTTATGCGTGATAAAATACTCAGGTCTAGTGCATCATTTATAATCTCAGCAGAAATCATTCATTTGGTATGTTATACTTGTGCTATTTGTTGTCCATCACATGAAATATTTTTCTAAAGCATAAGAGAAAGTATTCATTTCTTTTAATAATCCACTTTAATTTGACTCCCCTATTACACCAAAAGAATTTCTCTTTAAAGTCTAAAATAAATGAACTATTAAACATAATCTTCTTGTGAATAAGTCTTTTGTGAATAAGTTATATTATAAGTTTAGTCATTAAATCTTCTTAGACTTCCTATGTAAAATCAGTATATGGCTTAACATTAAAATGTCAACCTTAAAAGGAATCGTTTTCTCAGTTTCAAATTTCTCATGTTTTGTAAACACAGGACATCATAAATGATATGTTTAACAAAATTTGAAATTGTCATACCCATAATTGTTTGACACAAAAATACCTGAAAACAGAAAGTCAAGACGAGGAGGTGAACTATCACTAGGTCTCTGACTATAAAAAAATTATTTCTTTCACCCTTTTATATAATGATATAAAGACTATCTCTTTGCTTCCACAATTAGCTGTAGGATTAGGATGAGTAGAAAACAAGAGTGCTATGGACATTTTTATTTATTAAACCCTTGAACCCTTCACTAATCAAAATGTGTTATATTCATACCTGGAGTATATAAGAGTCGAAAATAATAGTTTAACCATAAACTCTCTTTAGGCCATTCATTCCCAATAGTTGTTCCTTCTAACTTTAATCTTCTTACTATATAACTAAAAGAAAATATTGTTTGTTCATAGTGATAAAGTTTATGTAGCCTTTGTAGTGGCTGACGACTTGCAACATAAGAATAGTTTGTAGTGCCAAACTTTTACACTCTTTATCCCCACCAATACTTCTATTACTCAAAGAGCATACCCGCTACCAACACGAGCTTATTGGGATTCTATCTACGAATACTCATACTCGTACATAATGACTATTACTTCCTGTTTAGACTCATTATCTACATGTTTCCTCACCTCGTGGACTTAAAAAAAATGTTCTGAGACCCGCTCCATATGTATTTTCTCGTGTTCCCAACATAAATATTACTATTTTCTTTAGTCTCCAAGAATCTTCACGAAAATCGAAGGGTTTCGTACTATCTGGTTCAAGTCAAGACCATTGGTCTGAACCATCCAACGAGTGATGAACTTTTCCACTTGATTAAAACCAGTTAAGTAAACCCATGAGGTTCATTATTTCATTCTTTCATATTACGTCATTGGGGTTTTACCATATATATGGGACAAATTGGCTATTTAATCCACTTCATCGATTCCAGTCACGAGCTCCTTGGGTGTTTACAAGATATGAAGACTCTCGTAAACTTGAAATCTCATTTTAGAAAAATCATTTTGGGGGTTTTATTCAATTCATGGAGTTGACAGGTCAAGGCAGGACAACTATTATCATCCCTGAAGGTTGGAAAAAGGAAGGCATTCAACGCTTTGATACGAAGCTTCAAAGGGTACTTACGAATTTTGGCAATGATACTTTCAGAATACCAAGAAAAGATTCGAATGATTTTAGAGAAATATTTCCTGAAATCTCTGGACTTTCTCACATTGGCTCTACGCCTTTTGAGTCACCATCCATTTCATCTTTATTATTTATGGAGGATCTTTTTTTTTGGGAAAAAGTGTATATTATTGAAAATAAAGAAAACGTTACAATGCGAATAAAAGAAGGAAACAAAAACAGTACAAAGAAAGCTAATTGAAAAAACTAAGTCCAAGGAAATTCTCTAGATTTAGACCTAGTTGTCATGTTGTGCTGCCTCTTATTCTTTTGAGGTTTCCTGTAGATTTTCAGTTGCGTGCTCAGATTTTCCGTTGGCAGGCAATTTTAAGAGGTAACAAACTTAGATTTCCTGCAGATTGCTCTGTTGAACTTTGATTTCCTTATTTCCGCTGGAAGTGAGATTGGGGGACGCCGTTCGCTTTCAGTTGTGTGGCCCAGAAAGTCATCCATGGAAAAAGAATCATCTGATTGATAATAGCTGTCTGAGGCGTCTGAGTAAGCCTGAACAAGCCTGAGATGCTTTACTGGAGTTGGAGAACATTGTTTGTCCGAGTATGCTTCCCGGATTTGGGAATCAAAAATAAGCTTAGTTATTGAAGTTGACTCCTCTATTAAGGGCATGGTTTCTTGCAGCCTGTGCATTGGTATCTCCTGCACCAAATCTGTTAGTCCAATAAAATTGGAAAATATTGCCAAGAAATCTTTTAAATTAGAATTGTTTGGGCCTGTAGGTATTACTAAGGAGCTCCCCTTTTCCTTAGCAATCTTCAGGTATCGTCCTGAATTGTTGGATTTCAGAGAAACCGTGATCGAATCAAATCGTCTGATTTGTCCAAAATTTTCTGATCTGCATAGGTGGTTGATGAATCTGTATATTTTGAAATTAATTATGTGCAAGGAGGATTTTCTAATTTCAAAAATAACAATTTCATTTTGTCTGGCAGCAAATCTAAATGATTTTGATTCAATTTTGATAGAATCAAAACCCTCCTCTTCAAAGAAATGGTAAATTTCTGAGAAAAATTCTAAAGGTACACACTTTTTGGTGTACACACTTTTAAAATATGTTATGTCTGTACAGACATAAAAAAAAACCTTACACAGACATGTGTAAAAAGTGTGTACAGACATAAAAAACCCTTACACAGACATGTGTAAAAAGTGTGTACACAAAAAGTGTGTACCCAAAAAGTGTGTACATTGAATCTCAACGCTAATGAGGGGGATGTTGTCATACCTATCAGGAGCAGTTCCTATACCGTGGGATCATCCCACGGTGAGCACCGTACTCCTGATCCAAAACGACGCAGTTTTGCAACGTTTTTTAATTAAAAAATTCTCGCGTGAACAGTACACGCGTGAACAATACTTCTTTTTTATTTTTCTCTTGTTCCAGTAACAGAATGGGTGTAACTCACATGTAAAGACATGTAACTAACGTGATTGATGAATGTAACTCAAGTCTAGTCGAAATGTAACTAGTTCAATACATAACATAAGAAATAAAAAATTGATTTCAATGGAAAAAAGGAGTCTAATTGTCCAACTATTTAACATAAATTGTGTATATGTCTTGTTTTTTATATCAGTGCTATAAAAATGATTTTTTATAAAAATGATTTTTCTTTGAATAACATGGCCTTATTGTGTTGTGTAACTCATATTATATTCAAGTGTAACTCGTACTAGTATTATGCAAAATGTAAATCACGTGTAAGGAAGATGTAACTTGCTGGGCAAAGTTGACAGACAAACTCTAAATGTAACTCACACACATGAATGATGTAACTCGCGCACACAAAAATGTAACCGTAAGTATTTTCGAATGTAACTTGAGCCAAGTCAAAATGTAACTTGTTCAGTATTTTATAAGTAGCTAGCTAGATGGCTAGAGCTACGTACTCTCTTAATTACTGGATCTCTTATCTGTATGTACATACATACATACGAATTAAATCTATGTGGTCGTACTATACGTAATGTGAAGAATATAGGAAAGGATAAGAAGAAAAGAGGATTGGCTGCAATGTAAAAGGAATCCCATGCAGACCGATAAAGATCGTGGAGTATACTTCCTGCTTGCGGTGGGTTTGAACGGAGGAGAGAGCTGGTTTCACTTTACGGAATAAGATTAGTTTTCTTTTTAATTAATAAAACTACACCGTTTGGGATCGGCACACCATGCGCAACGTGGACCGATCCCACGGTATAATTTGCGTATCAGGAGGCATCTTTCAGACTTTTGGAACGACATACTTGATTCTTCCTGGAACTCAAATCCTCCGAAGTTCAAACATAAAATCCTGAGAAGGAGTGATCGTCTACCTTTAAAAAAAACAATTCTGGGGTGTCTCCGTCGTAAACTGCAGGATACGGTCGCCGAGTTGTTGTTCCATTTTGACCTTGCACAGAAAGATCCGTAGGCAAAACCGGCTCAACCGGCACGGTCGCTTCCTTTCCGCCGGTCGCCTGTAACTTGAGCCCCTTCCGGACGTCATGACTTTGTGGGTATCGGTAAAAACCCTTCCACCCAAAATGGATCGCGATGGATATATCGGGCTACGCAAATGTAGTCCTTCGACCTCAAGATTAATTGATTGATCGATTTTTGGTCTGGCGTGTCTCCCTTTCCGGCTAAGATGACCGGGTATAAAAGTAGGGATTCCGTGTGACCCTTTTTTGTGGAAAGTTTGGTAGGGTTGATCTTCTTGAATAACGGTTTGTGGATGAGGGGGAAGGTCCGAAAGATCGTCTTCCTGATCTAAAAGGGAAAACCGATTACACGTACCCGGAGACCTTCGGATGTTGGTCCTGATTCGCTGGATGCGTTGTTGGTTAGACCGTCGGTGTTGGCCTTTGTAATGGACGGTGATCCATAAATCTGGATCCTCCGTGTAGAAGTGGGACAGTGAATGGCCCCTGCATCTGAGCCTCGATTGGTTCTTTGGATGCCAGCCCGGGTGTTCCATCTTTGGATACCATTCTTGATTTGAGTATAAAGTATGGGGAGAGTAGTAGCGATTGAAGAAAGCATCTGATCTATGCTCACCTGCTGCCCTGAAGAATTCAATTGCAACAACCACGAAGCTTCCTCCATGTGCAAGCAACGACCATGAAGCTTCATCCATGTGCAAGAATGACAAAGGGAGCTTCCTCAAAGTTTCCTGATGTTTAATCCCACCTTCCTCCCACCTTCATAGTACCTAGTTTTGGTGCTATAAATAGAGAGCTTGGAGAGTCTTTCTATCATCAAGTAAATTAGAATAGATCATCATAGCACAACCAAGAAGAGTTGTGAATATCCTTGAGAGATATGTGAGGTGTTGTTTTGAGAGTTTTTTAATTAGAGCTTGTATGTCTCTTCTTTCTATTCTTGAAAGTAATAGAAGTGTTTTTCTCTCATATTAGCACGATCCTGTTATTCCCAACAAGTGGTATCAGAGCCTGGCTGAGCTTTTGGTATTTTTTTCCCCAGAATTTTCGGATAAAATTCTACTGTCTGAAAATTCGTGTTTTTTGGTTTTGCTCGGAATTCCAATCTGAATACACCGTTAGATTCGTCTCGTCGAGACGAGAAAACTGGTATTTTTTGGTAATTTTTAGGCCACCGGAAGCCACCTCACGCGCCGCCTACGCGCCGGTGGTGAGGAGCTCGCTGACGTCATCCCTGACGTCATTCTGCACGCAGGCCAAGAGGTTGAAGACAGCTGACGTCATCGCTGACGTCATCAGCCAGTCAGAGCTGTGTCAGCGACACATCAGCGCCACGAGTGCACATCCGCCACATCATCAGCTCACTGCCATCTTCCACCAGCGCCCAGTCAGCTGCCACGTCAACGCCCAGTTAGCGCCACGTCATCTGCCACGTCACCGGTCAGTTTTTAAATTTTGAAAAATTGCAGTTAGGTCCCTCAATTTTTGGAAAATTATAATTTCCACCTATAATTTTTCGAAAATTGTATTTTGACCCCGAAAGTGTCTACCCACCATTTTTGGCCGTTCCGGACGCAACGGTGCTGCCCGTTTTTCAAAATTCTGCTCCGATGTTTCTCAAACAGAATATTAAAATTATTTAGAAGGTGAAAATGACCTTTGACGAGTCAACTTCATCTTCCGGAGCTATGATTATGCTCACGGCTACCAACTACACGCTATGGAAACCTCGGATGGAAGATTTCCTTAGCTGTAAAGACCTTTTTGATCCAATAGAGATGAAAGGTATTAATCCTGACCCACCCAAATCAATAGAGTGGAAGAAAATAAATAGAAAAACTATTGGTCAAATCCGTCAATGGATTGATCATAGTGTCTTCCACCACGTTTCACAAGAAACCGACGCTTATGCCCTTTGGAAGAAGCTAGAAGATATGTACCAGGCCAAGACCGCCAGGAATAAGGCCCTACTGATGAGGCGTCTTGTCAATATGAAGCTCAAAAGTGGAACTTCTGTTGCCGAACATACTAGTCAGTTTTCAGAGTCTGGTAAATCAACTATCTTGTGTAGAAATGCCACTTGGAGATGAAATGCAATCTCTACTACTTCTTAGTTCCCTTCCTGATAGTTGGGAGACACTAGTTGTTACTCTCAGCAACTCAGCCCCAAATGGCAAACTTACCATGTCTGTGGTCAAGGATGCATTGTTCAATGAGGAGGCAAGGAGGAAAGACATGAGCACAGATCAGACTCATGCTCTTGTGACGGAGAATCGAGGAAGATCACAAGGAAAGCAACAAAGAAACAGTAGAGGAAAGTGGCAAAGCAGAGGCAAAAGTCGGGGGAGATCATCAGATGGCCGGAAACCTTCTTATACCTGCCACCATTGCGGTATAGAGGGTCACATGAAGAAGAATTGCTACAAATTGCTAGAGGAGCGAGGCAAGAGCAATTCTCAAGCGAAGAACAAGGGTGGTGAAGCGCTCATCACAATCTCAGGTGATGTGGCGTATTGTACTAGCAATGATGAAACATGCCTGCACGTCTCAAGAGAGGACACTGAATGGGTGGTAGATACTGCAGCATCCTACCATGTTACTCCCCACAGGTACTACTTCACAACTTACAAAGCTGGAGACTTTGGAGCAGTAAAGATGGGCAATTCCAGTTCCTCTGGAATAGCTGGAATTGGTGATATACAAATAAAGACGAGTACTGGGAGCACAATCACTTTGAAGGATGTCAGACATGTCCCAGACCTTCGGCTCAATCTCCTATCCGTGGTATGTCTTGACGAACAGGGGTATGACAACCACTTTAACAGGGGCACCTGGAAAATGTCAAAGGGCGTTTTGACAATCGCTCGAGGACATGTTTGTGGCACATTGTACAAAACCCATTTGAGGATTTGTATGGATAGCCTCAACATTGCAGAGGAGACTTCTCAGAATCTGTGGCACCTGAGGCTCGGCCACATCGGTGAGAAAGGGTTGACTACCTTGATGAAGAAGAACCTTATCAACATTGACAAGAATTCTGCACTGGGTCCTTGCAGTCATTGTCTATTTGGTAAGAAACATAGAGTATCATTTAGTTCTACTTCAACTAAAAGAACGGAGTTGTTAAGTTTGGTACACTCCGATGTCTGTGGCCCTTTCGAGGTAGAATCAATCGGTGGAAGCAGATATTTTCTGACTTTTATCGATGATGCTTCTCGGAAAGTGTGGGTGTATTTCCTGACGACGAAGGATCGGGTCTTTGAGAGCTTCAAGACATTTCACGTCTTGGTGGAACGTGAAACAGGAAAGAAGTTGAAATGCCTCCGATCTGATAATGGAGGCGAATATACATCCAAGGCATTCGATGCATATTGCAGAGAATATGGCATTCGACATGAGAAGTCAGTACCACGCACCCCTCAGCGCAACGGTGTTGCTGAAAGAATGAACCAGACTATCATGGAGCGTGTCCGGAGCATGCTAAATGTGGCTAAACTTCCAAAGTCATTTTGGGGAGAAGCAGTCAACACCGCATGCTATCTTATCAACCGATCACCTTCAGTACCACTGAACTTTGAAGTTCCAGAGAGGCTATGGACAGGTAAGGATCCTACATACTCACATCTTAGAGTTTTTGGTTGTTCATCATATGCACATGTATCCAAAGAGCTCAGACAGAAGCTCGATGCAAGAACTATCCCATGCATTTTCGTTGGCTATGGAAATGAAGAGTTTGGATACAGGTTATGGGGTCCTAAGGAGAAAATGGTGTTCAGAAGTAGGGACGTTGTGTTCCATGAAGATTTGACAATAGAAGACATTGAAAAATCCACAATGTCTCGGAAGTCAAATGAGGGTGTTCAAGTTTCAAATGAAGCACCTGAATTGTTCTTGAGAAACAATGACGAAGTGCATGAAAACAACTCAGAAGCAGAAGAGGATGAGGAGACAGAAGAGAGTACAGAGAAAGGGGAGTCACAACCCACCTCGCCAGGCACAGATGATGGTAGCTCTTCTGAGATGGTTCCAACTGTTCGTAGATCTGAACGAGGCCATATACCATCGAAAAGGTACACATCATCTGAATATCTTTTGTTAACTGAAGATGGAGAACCGGAGAGTTTTCAAGAAGCTGTGTCTCATAAGGATAAAGAAAAATGGCTAATAGCAATGCAGGATGAGTTGGAATCTCTGCAGAAAAATCAAACTTATGAGATTGTAGAACTTCCTAAAGGGAAGAAGGCACTGAGGAACAAGTGGGTGTTCAAGCTGAAGAATGATGCAAGCGGACAAGTGGTGAAACACAAAGCTCGGTTGGTTGTCAAAGGATTCCAACAGAAGAAGGGAATTGACTTTGATGAGATCTTTGCACCAGTTGTCAAGATGACCTCAATCCGAGTTATACTTGGCTTGGCAGCAAGTATGAACTTGGAGCTTGAACAGATGGATGTGAAGACAGCATTTCTTCACGGAGATTTGAAAGAAGAAATCTATATGCAGCAACCGGAAGGTTTTGAGAGCTCAAATGATAACTTTGTGTGTAAGTTATCTAAAAGTTTGTATGGCTTGAAGCAGGCACCAAGGCAGTGGAATAAGAAGTTTGACTCATGCATGAAGAGTCAAGGCTACAAGAAGACTACTGCAGATGAGTGTGTATACATCAAGAAACTCCCAGACGGCACTTTCATTGCTATTCTACTATATGTAGACGACATGTTGATCGTTGGGAAAGATGCAGTGATGATAAACCAGCTGAAGAAAGAACTCTCTAAGTCTTTTGATATGAAAGACTTAGGACCGGCTCAACAGATTCTTGGGATGCAGATCACTCGAGACAGGAAGAATCGCAAGTTATGGCTTTCTCAAGAGAAGTACATTGAACTAGTACTTGAGAGATTCAACATGAATGATGCCAAACCAGTTAGTGTTCCACTTGCGAATCACTTCAAGTTAAGCAAAAGAACATGCCCTACATCCAAGGAAGAGATCGGGGAGATGTTAGCAGTTCCATATTCTTCGGCAGTTGGGAGTTTGATGTACGCCATGGTATGCACAAGGCCAGACATCGCACAAGCAGTGGGTACAGTAAGTCGTTTTCTCTCTAACCCTGGGAAGGAGCATTGGGAGGCAGTCAAATGGATTCTCAGATACTTGAAAGGTACCACGAAGTTATGTCTTTGTTACGGAGGAGCTGATCCAAACTTGGAAGGCTACACAGATGCTGATATGGCCGGAGATATTGATAGTAGAAAGTCTACTACAGGATATATCTACACTTTTGCAGGGGGAGCTGTTTCTTGGCAATCAAGATTGCAGAAGTGTGTCGCTTTATCTACAACAGAAGCAGAATACATTGCTGCCGCTGAAGCAGGTAAGGAAATGTTGTGGCTAAAGCGCTTTCTCCAAGAACTTGGGATCCACTAGAAAGAGTACCAGGTACATTGTGACAATCAGAGTGCTCTAGACTTGAGCAAGAACTCAATACAAAGGAGAATCCATCAGACATGCTGACAAAGGTGGTGACACGAGATAAGCTAGAGCTATGAAGAGACATAGTCGGGATGCTTGTTTTGAATATGCCTGGAAGGGGAGAATTGAAGAATTCAATTTCCAGGACATATCCAAGTACAAGCAAATTGAAGAATCCAATTGCAACAACCATGAAGCTTCCTCCATGTGCAAGCAACGACCATGAAGCTTCATCCATGTGCAAGAATGACAAAGGGAGCTTCCTCAAAGTTTCCTCATGTTTAATCCCACCTTCCTCCCACCTTCATAGTACCTAGTTTTGGTGCTATAAATAGAGAGCTTGGAGAGTCTTTCTATCATCAAGTAAATTAGAATAGATCATCATAGCACAACCAAGAAGAGTTGTGAATATCCTTGAGAGATATGTGAGGTGTTGTTTTGAGAGTTTTTTAATTAGAGCTTGTATGTCTCTTCTTTCTATTCTTGAAAGTAATAGAAGTGTTTTTCTCTCATATTAGCACGATCCTGTTATTCCCAACATGCCCTGTGTATCTGGGGATGCCGTTCGAAGTTTTCCCAGTAAGCCGGATGTGTGTGTCTTCTGTGACAGACCCCTGGGAATCTTGGACGAAAACTAATGAAGCGCTCATGTTGTGGATGGAATTGAGCATGGTGCACAAAACGATGGTCATAAGAATGAAAGTATGGATTCCGGAGAGATGTTTGCTCATGCCGGTAATCCATTTGCGAACTTAGGTGAATGATGGTTTAGAGAGATGTGAGAGTTTCTCTCTCATCGTGTTGTGTAGAACTTGAGAGCACTTTTAGCGTATTTATGGAGGATCTTTCTCATATTGAATCTTCTTTCTCCCTGACTAGTGCAACTGAGTTTAATTATGGGGAATACAATTTCAGTTAATGTTTCAGAATTTATTGAAGAAAATCGTTTACATGTTATTGCTTCAGACTCATCTTCCAGAGAATGAGGGGGATGTTGTCATGCCATCTAAACCAGGTTCGAATTCTGACAAAGAAATCAAATGTATACCTATCAGGAGGCATCTTTCAGACCAAGAACTTTTGGAACGACATACTTGATTCTTCCTGGAACTCAAATCCTCCAAAGTTCAAACATAAAATCGTTTGAAGGAGTGATCGTCTACCTTTTAAAAAAAAACTTCTTTCTCAGAACTAGATGGCTGCTTGAACCTTGGTTCCGAATATCGGTGTTCTCTCATGTATTTTTTTTCCTCTTCTTTTTCTTCTTCAATAGCTTTGGGGGAGGTTTGCACCTACTTCCTTCATTAGAGATTGTAATCTTTTATCTTTCTCAATAAATTGTTTCCTTCCTATAAAAAAAATCGGTTTAACAACTGTATAGGGTTTATTATTTTCTCCTTTAATATTATGACATGGAAACTTTACGATAACAGGCTATAACAATCAATTGCCTGCGTAAATGCCAATCTCCCATTCGAAGCCAAGGTTATTCTCCACTTGGACTTTGTTTAATATTAAGTTCTGGTCTATTTTGCTCCTCGACCTATAAGGACGATTGAAAATTTTCATAAACAACCTATTTGTCTAGGATAAGTGTTATTAAACACCTTTCAATATGGGGAATTTAGCAGGCTAACCTCGATAACTTTGATCTTAGGGGTCGTAAATTTCATCTTAATCCCATTATCATCTTGTCTAGCACAATAACCCCTATTAATCCTTGACACGTTTGCTAAACCATGGCCTGCTGTCCAGCCTACCCCTTAAGGGTCGTAAATTTCATCTTAATCCCATTATCATCTTGTCTAGCACAATAACCCCTATTAATCCTTGACACGTTTGCTAAACCCTGGCCTGCTGTCCAGCCTACCCGTATGCTTTACAGTACTTCAAGAAACATCTTCATAGTGTAGTGAATACACATGACACATACATATATACCCAACATTTGTACTGAGTTCACTTATATGAAATAGTAGTTACTCTTATATGCCTTTAACTACTCACTTACCTGAGAGATGTCGAGCGGTGCATGGCAATGGATGGAGTTACGGAAGGACCTTAGCTCTGATACAAAATTGTAACGCCCGTCTCCAACACGGCCATTACGACACTCAAACATAAAAGAGACTCGATAAACCAAGCAGAAATAAAGATACAAAGTCTCTTTATGAAACTTTATTATATCCTATATTCATATCCAAATCTCATCATGAAAACATCAAATAACCAAAGGAATCTGTCTTTAATCAAAACATTTACACCTGATCAGGATTTCAAAACAAATATTTAAATAATCCATAGGCGTACCGTAGTACTAAAAACAAAACATAATAGATTGCCCGATCTTCTCCGTTAACCCATCCAAAACATTGTCACCGGGCCATACATTCTCTCAGGCTTCTGTACTTCGTTTATTACCTATACATGAGAACATAAGAGAATAGAATTTTCGTAAGCAATAATGCATAGTAAGTCACCATTTCCTCCACTAAATAATGTAAGGAATCTCAGCTAATCATAAATAGATATTCATGCTTAATACACCACACATATATTACACTCGCACATGTAATGCACATAACACACATAAGAGTTCACATATCAAACCCTAAGAGCTTTCCTTATTCATCATTCTTTCTTCTCATCTTGTTCCTTGAGTTTATGAGCCCGTAGCTTGTGTCCTGGCCCCTCACCGATGACCTCGGGTAGCTAGCCCGCAGCCCATCAAAAGTAACCCCAGGACTCCCCGCGGAAGGCTGTTCCGCTACGCTCAGCTCAGGTAGTTACTTGGGGTACAGTTACCTTAGATCATTACTTATCATTCAATAGTTTTCATTATCATCATAACTTCCTTTTCATTTTCATTCCACATGAACACAACCTCAAACATATATTCTAAATACTTTACATCTCATAAATAAATGGCTTCACAATTAAGACCATCCGTCCATAGATACATACAACTTGGAGTTCACATAATCTCATGCCATACAATTTCAAGTATTCAAGCAAGTATATCAATTCATCATTAGCTAGACTTCCATACTTTATTTAGAACTATCATGTATAGGTGGTGGTGACTTACCTGGTTCACGCGGAGTATTTACCCTTGTATGTGCGTGTACGACGACCACGAGCAACGGTTCTTCGATGAGCAACTATATTTATAAATACAAAATTTTACGCTTGATCAAACTTAAATTCATGTCTTTCGAAAAATCCTTAGACTTAAATATGAGGAGAAGTTCACAAATTAGCCCCTACAAGTGAGAAAACTCCCAACTTCCTACAACAAATCGGGCATAACTTCGGGGTAGCTAGGTAACTGAAAATCGATGGAATTTCATGAATCAAGAATCATCAAAAACTAATTAATTACTATAATATCAAGAAAACCCTATGTTTTTTTAGATCCAGCATTCAACAAAGATGTATTACAATTTGACAATATTTGCGAGATAGAATATAGTATTACAATAATTCCAAGAACACAACATCAAAAGATTTACATCAAAATTGTCTCCATTTAAGCACCAATTCAAGTTTCATCGAATCGGTTGAAGTTGTTCACGTCTACAAATCTCAAGATCCATAATGCCTCAATTGCTCTAGCTACATTGTCAATTTTCTTTTAAAACTTTCCTCATGCCAGGAAACCATGGGGAAGGGATCGACGCGCAGAGGCATCCGGCTCGACCTCCTCCTCATCAAAGCTTACATCGGGGGTTGGGGGCTTAGGATCCTCGCCCCTCTCCACAGCTTGGGCGCGCCTCTGATCCCGCTCCAATTTTGCGAGGGCCATCAACATAAACTTATCCTTCGTGTGCTCCGTCAGATTCAAGAAAACCCTGTGTATTTACTTAGAACCATCCCCTAACATCAAGAAACCGCCCAAGTCCTTTCATTAAATTGGCAAAACATTTGGGGTAGTTAAATACTTAAAACTTCACAAGAGTTTTTAAAGAATTTGTCTTCAATAGGAGTAAAACATGATGAGAATTCTCAAATAGGAGTTTAAATTTTTATATTCCCTAAATAGGACCCACCCATTAATTATATACCTTTTATACCCTTCTTACTCAAATAAACCCCATCCCCAAATTAATTGAGGCTTGTATGTTCTCTGTCGATGAAACTTTCCAGCGCCGCTTCACCATGTTTGTTCGCCGCCCAGTTCGATGTCCAGCGCCGCTTCTTTCTTCGGTTTTGTTCGCCTCCACCGCCGCCGTCTCTCTTCGCCGAATTCGCCTCCACAGTCGACGGAGCAGGTAATTCTCCCCTCTTCTTCTTCTCCTCTTCCTTCTTCTTCTTCTTCTTCTTCTTCTTCTTCTTCTTCTTCTTCTTCTTCTTCTTCTTCTCCTCTTCTCCTTCTCCTTCTTCTTTTGCACTCCTCTTCATTCTCGTCCCTGCTCTGTTTTCATCTTCTGATTTTTTATTTCAAACAATGATTTTATTTCATTTTTTCAAATACTAAGTTGAACAATTAAATTTTAGATCTGAAAAACTGAGAAACGAAAATTCAGAGCTTCTATGGAGATATGAAACTGTTCGATTCCATGTTTTTTCAACTAATTTTGGTAATTTATTTTAATACATAAAAATTGCTATTTCTATTCATTTTAAATATAAAAATGTCATAAAATCATTTCTATTCGAACAGTGCCAAGTTATACCAGTTTTATGCCATAACAAATTGTCATTTTTACTCTAATGTTATTCATAAATGCCATGTTATTTTTTGAAAAATAAAGGCAAATAATGTTATTTTTATGGCAAATAATGTTATTTTTATGGCACTAATAATGACAAATTGTCATTTTTACTCTAATGTTATTCATAAATGCCATGTTATTTTTTGAAAAATAATGGCAAATAATGTTATTCATCAATAATATTATTTCTACCGTCATGTTTTTCTTTCTACAAATGCCATGATTTTTTAACTATAATTGTTTTTATGGCACTAATTACATCATGCCATGTTTTTTTTAAATACCATGATTTTTGCTTTCAACATGCCATTTTTCAGATCTGAACATGATAATATATGACACTCATTTATGAAGATGACAAAGCAACAAACATGGCATTAGATGTGACAAACTATTTGCTAGAGATCCGTAGTGGTCTCTCCAAAAGAGGCGGCTGCCGGAAACGACAGAGGCGCGTCGACGTCGGAGATCCACCCGCTAGAAGAGGCGGCAGAGACAACACAGGTGGTTGTTGCCGGCAGAGGCAAAGGAGGCGGCGAGCGGCTGTTGGCGGCGCTGTTAGATGTGGCGGTGGGAATGTCAGGTGCGGCGGCGGAGGCGACGTCAGATGCGACTGCGGCTGGTGGCGCCGCCGGAGCCAGAGCCGGCGAAGGTGACAGTCACAGCCTAGGGCTGTACCGTTGCATCTTCCGAGTCTTTTGTTGTCTCTGTAATGTTTTATTTTGTGTTGTATTATTAATTAATAAAATTTTGAACGCGATTTTCACTATGGGTCATCCGAAAACAGTCTCTCTGTGCTTTAGTACAGGGGTAAGACTGCGTACATCCGACCCCCCCTTACCTCACCGTAGGTGGGAGCCTTTGCGGCACTGGGGTAAATGAAAAATGAAAAATGAAAATTAAGGGTATTGTTGTCCACTCGTACACTTTTTACTCCTATGCGTGACCGACGAGACTTGGACTCCTATTTGTGCACAAATGCATTGTTTTAGTCCTATTGAGGTAATTTTCTCGAGTTTTTTATCAAGGATGAACAACAACTCCATAACAACCTTAAATTTAAGAAAATCAATAAATTTCCCTAGAATCAACTCTAAATCAACAAACCCTAGCAAAATCCACAACCAAGAACTATAGATACAAATATAGAAGAAATACTTCATGAAAAGTGTAAAATCTTACCAATTAATGATCCTTGATGAAAGATATGTTTATTTTGAGCTTGAAGTAGCTTAGGAAGGGTTTGGAACCAGTCGCACAGGGCTTCGTTTTGGGGTAAAAGGTGTTTTTTCCGTTTAAAAAGGACCCTGCACTGACTGGGCAAATATTTACCTGACCAGCACCGGTCCGGGTCCAACCGGCGCCGGTCCGGGGTTCCTACGGTGCCGAAAACGTCCTTTTTGGCCCTCAACCGACCCTGATTGTTGCCGATCACCCCCTTGACCCCCGATGACATTTTAAACCACTTTTTAAACACCCGAATACTATCTAACATGACAACTAACTTGATATACCATTCCATTCGAAATAAAATGATTATTACAGTATAGTTTCGTTGCTCATCGGATACCGTCACCTGTCACGTTCAAACATAATACAAGCATGAAAATTCAAATATCATTATCTCAAAGTTCATAATCACATGATATCCCTATACATCACATATATAGCATTCAAACCATAAGTTAAAACATGATCATAATAAAAGTGATTAGCACATAAGAAGTAGATAAAAAGTATGGGCGCTACAATAAGTTTTATTAGTGAACGTGTCTTGTTATTAATAACTACCCTCGATAAATTGGAAATACTCCACGACTCAGTATTCGAGAGGAAGATAGTTAAAGATATAACTGAGATCGACGAACATTTAACTAAGTGGAAATAAGCAAAACCAAGTCTCAATCTCTATTTTATTAAAGCACATAAGTCGTTTATCTTTGTGTTCAAATACTCTTAAGTTCAAAAACAATCTAAAACCCTCCTTTTTACAATTTCATATAAGAAAGATATTTCATTTCATGTAGATACGATTCTTACTTTGTTATACTACAATATTAGTGCAAGTATTGAATATTATTTTGAGGCACACAACGATTTTAGTGCTGTCAACAATCTTGTGCCTCTCTATCGTGTCTAAATGGTCTCACTTTTCTTATTTGGATGTTTCATTCAAATATTCTCATTGCATTGTGGGAAATGATTTTCTTTCTTTGATGACCGCTTTACCCATTACATAATAAAATAAACGCCCTAAAGAACCTTAATCACTCCATCGGTCAAATCCCAT